CAGCAGCGGAGCCGCCCACGATGCCCAGGAAGTGACTGTGTGCTCGGGCTACTCCGCTCACATCCAGGGTGCGATCTGGATGCTCCTTGCTCTTCCTGGGAGTTCCCCACTTGCCCGGGGACGGTGAAGTGGCCGGGGGCGCTAGGGAAACCTCGCGCTTGATGCTCTCCCGTGCTCCGCAAGCCTGGGCGAGTTGAGGGACCTGTGCTTGGGGCCTCAAAGAGCCTGCCTGGAGGGGCGCGGTCAAGTCCGGGGCGGTGGGTTTCGGAGGGAGGCCAAGGGCTTCTGCGGCCGGGCCAACGCCGGGTCTGGCCGCGTGCTCCTGATGCAGGAAGGCGCGGCCGCCGCCGCCGCTGAGCACGCAGTGAAAACGTAGGTGTGCCTTGAGACTGTTAGGGTATCTAAACGTCCTCCAGCAGTACCAGCAAATGTAGCGCTCCTCTCCTGGGCAAGAGACAGTGGGAAAGTAACCCTGTGAGAAGCAGGGGAGCCAGAAGGAAAGCGCTCCAGCGCACCAGGCAAAGCCCAGGTTTTGACCCATGGTGCGGCAGAAGCAGGGGGGGGGGGGGGGGTGAGGGTCTTAGGGCTGACAAATAAAGTTTAGTAACCCTATCAAGACTCTCCCAAAGCGTGTAAATGGCCAATCCTTGTCACCTCTGTCCTCAAAGGCCTACTCAAACAGCAAAACAGGTAACCTAGGCAGTCCAATGAAGACATCCTCCAAGACCTCGTAGTAAATATCTTTTGGAAGAGAAGGGCACAGGAAGGCTGACTGGGAAGGGCAGAGAGCAGCTGTTGCCTTAAATCAAGTATTGAAGCTGTGCTGTGCCTGTGCCCATCTGTTGGCGTTTGCAGAATAGGTGGCGTATGTCAAGGAGTTGGATAAACTGAACAAAGGCCAATCTAATAGTCGTGAGCTCCTCATTACCAGGCGAGACAATATCCTGTATGTATGGGCCATATGTAATCATTCCTTTTCATATAACAATGTCTTTTGTGTCGGCTCTCCGCCCTTTCTACCCCCTCCCAGACTTATACACTCGCCTGAGGTTTTCCTGGAGCGTGACCAAATGAATCCCCACATAAGGATTGTGATTTGCTACTCTTCAAAATTATGTGCGTCCTTATTTCTTTCAGTAACTCCATCGGATTGCATTGAAGAAAAAAAAGTTCTATTTTTTGATATCCTACGACGAATGATTATATCCTGAGAAGGAAGGTGTAGGGTTATCTTATCAGTTCTACCTGAAAGTTAATTAACTCCTAGACAGGTGCAGAGATTCAAGCTTGGGTGAGCTATATTTCACTTAATAAATATTAAAAAAAATGAGAAAGGTACTCTGCTCTTAGAAGTGCAGAGTTCTGTAGTGTTCTGCTGGTGTGCATGTGTAGTTGTCAACTCTCTGTGTCTCTTCCACTGTAACTGTCTTGACTTACTAGGGTCATTGAACGCAATTCAGAGACAGGTGTGTGGCATAGCTACTAATCAGGTACTAGAAACTATTTTCTGCGTACCCCTGTGCATCCACTTGCAGTCCTGCAGTTTGTTGTGTGTGTTGTGATTGATTGGTTGGTTGATTGATAATTATTAATGATGTCTGTGAGAAAGAAGTTGATTAGGCCACACGGAAATCCCGAAGTACCCTGTAGGTCTCTGAAGATTTACTGGAAAAGTTGCATTCTCCCTCTTTATGTCCACTCAGCTCCTGCCTTTAAGACATTACTAAAGAGCTTGTCGTGATGGCACAAGACTTTAATCCCAGCCCTTGGAAAGCAGAAGCAGGCAGATCTTTGTAAGTTTCAGGCCAATGAGGGCTCTCTCAAAGGAGGGGACCAGTTTGTTCCAAAAGAGGTCAAAGGAGAGCTGGGAGAAATAGGGGGACAGAGGATTTGCTTCTACTACTCTATTCCAGGTATTTCTCAAAGACTTACACAAGAGCATCTCGATATTCCTGTTACCTGCTTAAAACACCTATGTAAAAAAAGGAGGGTGACCCCTTGGTTTTCTTGGAGTGTTTGAAGTTCAGCTGCTCCTTTACATCATCTCCTCAAGAGTTTCCAGTCTGCTCCAGAACGGCTCTGCCAAAGCAAAGCCAAGTACACTTTGTTCTTAAAATGAAGGGCAGTAACTCAATCTTTCTGTGAAACTGAAACTAATTGAAATTAGCTGGTACTGCAAAAAGAGATGTTATCTCTGTTAATTTCTTCCTCTTCTCAAAACTTAGGGCGTGTGTGTGTGTGTGTGTGTGTGTGTGTGTGTGTGTGTGTGTTTCCACTTTTCCTCAACAGGTCCTGAAGATCCTAAGGTTCAACTCTCACCAAGTGACTCACTCTTCGTCTTTGCTCCTCCCCCTCATACAATTTAAAGATGTCAGACATGCCAATCTAGAAATGTCAGGTTCAAAATAGGCTATAACCTTCCCCAACAATAAAATGATGGATTTTTTTATTATCAGTTGCCATATGGCATTTATAAAAGTAGTTGGCTGAAATAAAATACATGGGTTAAACAAGCAGCTTTTCCCTGTTTGGTTGTCCCTATGGGAAAATGTTCCCTGTAGAAGTGGCTGGCACAATTTGCTGAGGAGTGGCAAGCTTGAGAGTCCCCTATGAGACAGCTGTGCTTATTCCTGGAAGGACTGGACAAAAGATTCTGATAATGTAGTTCAAGGAACAAACTATATTAGAATAATTCTTACGAATGCTGGACATAAAAATCTATTTTAAAACAAATAGAATTGATTTACAGAAGACAGTGGTACTTTGAAGTAAAATGACTCGTTTCTCCAAATAACCTGTCCAGCCCAAAAAGTGTTTCCAAATTACCACACTTTTATCAACATTTACCTGTTTCTAAAGGGACGCAACGGAGTAGCAGTTCTGGAGGAGATTGTGTTAAAGTATTTTGGAACATTTTGTTGTTGTTGTTGTTGTCTATAAATAAATCGCTTCTTGGGAAAATTATAAACAAGCTAAAACAATTAACAAGTGGGGGGAAGGGCAGAGGAAGCCTTATGGAGTACGAAAAGGGAGTCTCAAAACCTTAACTATTTTAGCGCCTCCCAGCCTTCTTCCTACAAGAAATGTCCTTCAGTGCTATGTGGAGGGTTTGAAATGTGGTCCTCTTTAGCGGTTGCCCCTTAATTTGCATGAACTGGCTTTTGGCTTGGAAGGAATCAAATAAATCTGAGAAGAAACTGGGATACATCCCAGATTCAATTTAAGTAGGCTTAGTAGTGGGAAATGAATAAATACCATTTTAAGCAAGAACTTTAGTACCTGCCAAGGGACCAGCTTCTAAAATGTTTCTAAAATGCTATCAAATACACTGCTCTCCTGTGAAACTAACAGAGAAAGAGCACCTTTGTACCTTTTTAAAAGTATTCTAGGTTTAAGTTTTGAGGTCTAGAACTCAAGATGTATTTGTTGTGGCATATTAAGTCTCCTCTGTTGGTTCTTCATTAAGTAAATGTTTGTCATTGAGGTGTGTAATGGGAAAGAAAGAAACCATAGAGTTCCTAAGGAAGTATTCCGCTGCAGTTGAGAACAAGATTACTACCCACTTTTGTTACCACTTGCTAATGGTTTTAAGGCAACAGTTCCCTCTTTGCCTGTGCAAACAGCATGAATTCCGCTTCCACGGAGCTGAACAGAAAGGTTCTTCAGGTCTGGGATCACCTCCCACTACCCAGGAGAAGAGGTGAACGCTTGCTCACCCTCACTGTTGGGGAGACCTTCTCAGAGGCAATACCTTTCTCATCATGAGTCGGAGTCGCAGTTGTGGGGATGTCAAACCACTGAGCCAAAGAGTTAGAATACCACACAGTCAGCTCTTCCCCTGGCTGGACATCTCGTAATGCTCGATAGAAGATCTAGGATGTAATAATAATAATAGTAATAATAATAATAATAATAACAACAACAATAATAATAGTAACAATAAGGTTCTCTGTTATTTCCTGGTGCTTGAGAATAAAGGTTCAAATGCTGACGTTGTGGCCCTGGAAAAGCTACTGGATAACTTTGAATCTCATCCTTCGTCCTTTAAATGGCAAACCAAAAGTATCTTCCTTACAGGGTCATTGGCACTTTTAAAAGGAGAATTCTTGCCTTTCCAAGTTCTTTGCTTACGAAATACCCGGCTGCCTTAGGGATGGAATTGGAATTGACAAGGATGAGGGGCACTGACAGTACCTGTCCTCCTGGTAAGTCTGCAACAGCTTCCAGCGTCTGTTCCTGGGGGTTCCTGGCTGCACGGATTAACCCTATCCACTCCAGAGGGGAGCCCCCTGACTCGTCCACCAGCTCCCCTCTCACCATGCGCACCTGTAATACAAGCAGTGGTCAATTCCCCACATGCCACAGCCAGGCTCACAACCCAGAGGAAAGACTGTACTCCACCCCACCCAACTCCGGAAAATGCTTGTGTTCTCTTTGACCCAACCTCTAGGTGCTGCTGGGAGCATAATTCCTCCGTGCCTCAGTTTAGAGGATGGAGAAATAAGGGAGGTTGAATGATAGACAGCACCACGGTCATCACCGCAAACACACACCTTGGAAACACCAGCTGGAAAAGGCATTCTCTTAGAGCTCCCGGATGCAAATGGTTGCAAAAACAGTCCCCACCTCTCCCTGTGCGCGGTTCTGGGATCCTTAACGCCGGGAGAGAAGTGATTCCAAGTTCAAGCCCGTTCTGAAGCCTGGCGTAGTATTCCTACCCTGTTTCTCAGCCTCCCCATTCTCTAGAACTGCTCGTAGGTGCAAGAGAACTCCGCGGTGAAATGCTCAGAACAAAGCCAGCACAGAGAAATTTTGCCTGCAGCTAGCAGACCATTTAAAAGCAATTAAATCGCGTTTAAAGAGAGAGGCGTGGTTAGCTACAAAAACCGAGGGTAGCGGGAGAGACCAGAGGCTTTCTGGCTCCAGGAGTAAGGTGCAGGTCCTGCTCCTCAGACAAGAAAGATACTTCTTGCAAGAAAGCTCTCTAAGCGCTGGCTAAAACCACAGTCTTTCCTTTTTAAACAAGCTTTTGACTTAATTTCCCGGTCCTGTCTGCCAGTACTTGATTGCCAAGCCTTCCCCCACCCTCTGCGGGCAAGAGTCTTTAAATTCCCCTCTAATCAGGGGTCAAGACTGTGGGGGTGGGGAAGGAGAGGTCAGCGTGGAAGAGTTGTCCCTGAGGGTCTCCAGTCAGCTGCAAGGGTCCCAACTGGGTGTCCCCTCGAGGGTGGGGCTCCACTACCTCTCAGATGGCATCAAGATTAATCACCACAAGGCTCACCCTCTCTCCATTTCCTACCCAAACCTACACGTAAATAAATGGGGGCTTGGTGTATTCCGAGAACTAATAGCCTCACCAGAACTGTCTCCTCTGAGAAAAGGGACTGACATGTTTAAAACAAAATTTAAGCCTCAAATTAGTAAACAGAACCGGGAAAAAGTCCTTCCCATCCGATGCCTCCAGAGAAAAAGGTATGTTTGCCCAAAGAAGCCAAGAGCCCAGGTGAGAGTTAGGAACCTTTACTACCTTGCTGAGGACACCCCAGAACGCTGGGGGAAGCTATCAGTTCCTACATATATGCCCCCATCCCTACAGTTCCTACAGCGAAACAGACACATCGAACTAGTGTCTGCTTCCGCTCAGCTCTGCCCCCCCCCCTTCAACCCACCCACCGTCCAGCTCAGTTATGAGACATTCTAAGGCTAATCGGACAAGTCTACTCTGCAGAATTAGCAAGTATCCCTTTTCTCCGCTTTTCCTCTTTATCCCTCTTCTGGATCGGAGCAATGGGAGGCAAACCGCAAGTAATGGAAATCTAGAATGGCCCAGTACCTTTTTCTTGGGCCCTGGCTCCCTGCGATCTGACAGGTACTTGCCCAACTTGAAGGTGCCAGGCACGGGCCCCAGGCGCAAGCCAGCCGGGATACAGCAGTCAGCGTTCACGCTGGTGGCCGGAGTGCGTGAAGTTCCATGCATTGTTGCCACCGCCGCCTGGCAGACGCTGGGGCTCGCGGGTTCCTCCACTAGGAGAGAGTGACAGAACCAGGAGCAGCCTCATGCGATGAAGGAGCCGCACCCCGACGTGCGTCTTCTGCCCGCAGAGTGACGCGGGCAGGCATGCACTGCGCCTTTTCAATCCGGGCGGGCGCCTTTTGGCACCGCGAGCGCAAGGGCGCGGAGTTTGGTGAGAGAGTTGCGCTGTGAAGCAGCTGCAGAGTCCCACCCGAGAGGGTCACATGGAGTGGTTCCCTCAGCCCCTTGCATAATCGAGGCCTCTGAATGGCTAGCACACAATGGTCCAGGCGACCTTCCCATTCCTAAAAATCCAATTTGTCAAGGGCGAAGAAAAGGCGCTGGTGAATCAAAGGTCCGGCGGGACCATTAATCCTCAGCATGGGGTATTGTCCCTGAGACAGTTACGATATTTTAAGTGACAAATCCACTGTATAATTTCTCCATAAATTTTACTTCCTTTTATTGTTCGCCGACAAACCAGTTTTGGGAAATAAGTGACTACTTTAAGTCTACTTGGCTGATTCCTTTGAGCCTTGGTCTACTTCAAAGATTCTTAATTCTCTCCCCTTGGCTTTATTGTAAAGGAGATTAAACAAAGAGATGGAGACTGTTTGGAGGACTTGTTAACTTCTATTGATTTCTGGCGTGTGCCATACAGAAATTAGGCAGGTACTTGATGGGAAAACACCAGAAAATACCTACACTTTTCAAATCACGACCATAGTTCCATTTCAGGGATTGGGCTCAGGCCAGTCCACCATTCAGAACCACGTTAGCTGTTCCCTCTACCAGGATTTGCCCCAAAATATGAAACCGCCGGAACAATTTGAGCGGGAGAAGCCAGCTGAGCACCACCGCTCCTCTTCACACTCAGGGCCCGCTGTTTTCTCCGAGTGTAGGAAGCAGCCACAAAACTTTGTAGGCTCTGTGGATCGAACTGCGGCCTTGAAGAGGAGGAAGTTCTCCGCAGGACTGTTAATCACGTATTCCCCGCCACCCACCCCCACCCACACACCGCCTGCGTCTCATCAATTCAAACCTTGTTTTGCTTTTAAGTTTAAAACCGGGAGAAAGTCCTGGCACTGACTTCTCCAGAACCAAAAGGCTGGGTTTTTACTTATGTTTAAAGCAAATAAAACAAAACAAACAAACAAAAAACCGCAATCTCTCAGCAGGGTGAGGAGAGCCATAGCAGGCATTTGGGTCAACTCGGGGCACCTTTCCGCAAATCCGCAAATCCCACGCTGCCACCACTGAAGTCACTAGGAAGCTCCTGCAGCGACTCCAGTGATGTGTCCTCACTCCCACCCCATCCCCACCCTCTACCCCATCATAGAAAATAGCACAGAGGACCCTGTGCAGCACGCTCATTGGTGCCTTGCACAAAAAGATGCAGTTGTGCTGCCTAGATCAGAAGTGGCACTGGCTAACAGGATGTCCGGACAATCAAAGAGGGCTTTTAGAGTCGCCTCCTAAGTTGCCCCCTGGTGCAAACTTGTATTCACAGCCTAGGCAGGGCCAGAAAACTAATTGAAGTTCGGTGTGAATTACTCGGAGCCTCAGTCTCCAGATCTGCAAAGTGGAGCCGCTGCGTGCAAAGGGTCCCTTGCCTCGCTATCCACTGTTCACCCAAGCATGTTGGGAAAGTGAGCAATGGTGCACTAAGAAAGTCACAAAACTCGTTGTTTGCATCAATGGGAAAGCCAAGCCAGGTCAAAGGTCTCAAGTCTAAGCAAACCAAGACAAGACCATGCTGAACACAAAGGAAACAGACTCGGTGCCCACTCCACAGCCTACGGAGCTATACCTCCTTGAGACACCAGAAAGTCTCTTGGTGGGCTTTAAGCAGCCATGTTCATATGACTGTGCGCCTTGCCCGGAACTATTTTCTAAGACAGCAAACTCTCAGTTTCACGCTCAACCTTCCAATTGCTTCTCTGGAAGTAAAGACGGCTCCCCTCCAGAGATAGAAGAGAGCCTTTGATCCCAGGGCCCATGAATGGCAAAACCGGGGAAGGGAAAGGGAGGGGGACTGAGGAAGCCTCTCCGATGAGTCCAGGGCAATAAATTTTAAGCCATGAACATGCCCCTCTAACCTCTGGCCTGGCAACTCCGGATGACACCCAGTTTAACTTACCAGCACTGAGAGCGAGAAGGGGGCGAGCTCAGGACCTGGGTTCGGGGCGCCTCCCTAGCCTTCTTAACCAGTGAAAAAGCGTGAACGACACGCGAACAATTTTATCAATAGGACCATGTAAAGGCCGACTGTGAGGAAAGTTATTTATTAATATAGCCAATTGTGGCTGGTTCCCAGCCCCTCGAGAAGAAAGAGGCTGCGCCAGAGGCATTCACACCAGCTCGCCGAGTTTTATTCTGTCCTGTGGCTCAGAGTTGCAGTTCCCCAAGTGAAATAAATTGTCCACAAAGGAGAAAAGGAACACATTTTCTTTTATTTTTCCTCCCCTAAAAAGCAAGGGTGAAACCAATCTAATGTGCCCAGTGGAGCAAGATGGGCCGTGAAAGGCTGGGTGTTAAAAGTAAAAGCGGGCTGTGCAGCAAATGGGATGGAAAATTAAATGAAATTAAATAGCTTGAACGGCCGTATTGTCCCTTATTAAAAAGACACATTAATTACATGGTCTCAGCCTTATTCAAAGACAATGTTGAGACTCAATCAAAACATTCCACTCGGCTTTTTTATCGACTTAAAATGGGCGTCCAGAGGCCCTGTTAAAGCGAAATCCCTCCTACACGGAGGTGCAAGAAGAGCGTGGTTTGGGGCGGTCCTGCAGCCTGCCTAGCAAGGCTGGCACTCGGCTCCCGCAGCGGTTAACAGGTTGCCTAGGGAGGCTCACTCTCACAGGGCTGCAGCGGGCGGGAAAGGAGAGTCGTTCGATCTGGCCCGCAGCTTCCACCCGGCTACCGGCCGGTTTAGCTCGCCCACCCTGCGGTCCTTCTGGTAGGAAAGAGCAGACCTAGACCTTCCTGACAAGCACGGTAGTTCGTCTCGGATCGTGCTTTTGGGGGACGATAGGTCTCGGTCCTCGGGGTCCCCTGGGAGGCTAAGCTGACTGCCCTGCGTAGGTCCAGGAGTCAGGTCCCCGCTACTGCTCCACACAGTCCCCACCCGAGATGGAGAGAGCACCGGCAGGCCGCAAGCCGGAGCCGCGGATTCAGCGGTTGCCAGCGGTCCTGCGCTGGCCGGGGAAGCGCCCCCTGCGGGTGTCTGCGTCGGCCCAGCGGCCGGGTCAGAGCAGACCAGCTGCTCTGCCCCCGAGGCGCGGGTGGGACATTAAGGCCGGCTCTGAATAGGGAGACTGCGACCGGCTCTGGGAACGCCACCAGATGACGCGCCGGCGACTGGGCCTTTTCCCCCTTAATTACGTGGATGATGGGTGCGCGGCGGCCAGGAGACGTCAAACTTGTAGTCAAGGACGCAGCCCTGACACCATGGTGGGTTTTGCGGTGCCTTTTTTGGTTTTGTTTTGTTTTTTGTTTTGTTTTGGTTTGGGTTTTTTGTTTTGTTTTTTGGGTTTTTTTTTTAAGTCTGCGATTGGAAACGACTCAATAAAAGTATTCAGAGTCCCTCTCAAGTTGCCTTTTAACCGGAGTTCTCCAACTTATTTCTTGGTTCTTTCGGTTGACATGGTGCAAAGAAAAGTCAGCGAGCGTGCTGCTGAATTGCAATGTCTTGGGGCACCTCCATATTCACGCTTCTCTGCCGGCCTCTGCCCGAGGAGCCCGCGCTCAATTCGATTTTCCTTGCTATTGGGCACATTTAGGAGCGCCTCTATTTGTGAAGTTCATTTCTAGGCAAATGTATTCAAGAGCTGATGGGAATGAATAGGACCGTGTGTCAGCCGCCCCTAATTGGGATTAAAGCACTTAGGAGCATATGCAGAGACTGACAGAAATTCTCAGGTTGCATTGTCTTCAGACTTCCACCCGCTCGGACGCTCCTCCTCCAAGGGAGATTTATAAAGATTGCGGGGAGAAACTGAGGAAAGAAAGACGAAAGGGAAAGAGCCAGGCTAATAGCTCAGGATGGGGCTGCAGCTCAGCTAGTGGAGGTGTCGGCTTTGCAGAAAAGAGACTGCAGGATAATTGAATGCGGGCGGGGGAGCAGATCCGAACTCTAATCTGAAAGGCGGAGAGTTAAAAGGCGAAATAAAGATGTTCTTGAAGCTCCCAAACGCCCCTTCCTTTTTTCCTTCCCTTGGAGAACCTGCCTTTATTTCTCTTTATCTCTGCTGCCATTCTGCACCCCAAAGCACATACCCTCTCGAAGAAGAAATTTTATACAGGTTGATACTTGAAACGGAGAGGAAGTATCCTCACATAGGAAATAAAAATAACTTTTGCATGTTGAAAAGGTCGTGTTCAAATAATCCTGGAAAAGTTTCCTGATGAGTGTGTCAAATATATGTAAGAGTGTCAAAATACAAACACAGTGAGTTCTCCTGTACATACGGATACGTAGTCCACCTGTAAATCTCATTCCAGAAGTAAGCACTGAGGTTTTGGGCTGAGGTGACAAATCCTTTGAAAAACTGGCAACTGGCATGGAGCTGAGGCTGAGACAGTTTTCTAAACAGAGCATTGGCAGCTTCCTTAAGCACTCTCCCCCAGGAGCAGAGAGGCCTGAAAAATAAACTAAACACTAAACAAGAGTGAGGATTTCCAGTGTTACCAGGATTTTTTCGTTTCGGAGGAGTTGTTTGGCTCACCTGGAAGCACTGGTTTCTTAGAGAACTCCGAGACTGGGTGTCAGAGCACAGAACAAGAGGGAGACTCCTCATCACATCCTTTGGGTACCATTTTGGATTTGGTAAGAATATATTCCCAATTAAAAGTTATTATTCATGAGTGCAAAGGGGAAAGAAAAGGCAGGCGAGATGAGGCTCTGGAGAGGACAGTAACAGTAGCTTCTATGACAAATTCCTACTCAACACTTGACTCTCACGCTGATTCCAGGGACCTTACTAACCACACAAAACCCAGAATTTCCAAGCCCTGAAGAAGCTGTAATAAAGAAGTGTAGCTGTGCTCTCCAACTAGGATGGGGAATCTGGACAACGATGATCACGTGACACAAGAACAAGCT